AAAGTCTGGCTGGCCCTACAAGCACATAGCTTCCACAGCACTGTCAGCTTCGGGGTGAACGGGGTGGGGAAAGCAACTTCTGTCTGAATTTTAAGGGGCGGGCTCATCTCATAGGGGGAGAATGGCTGTGTCCGGGTACACAAACGAGGGTCCACGCAAGAGGGGAGTCCCTCCTTTCCGTCGTCTTGAACTGTTTGGTACAATGCGTGATTTATCAGTTGAGGAGGAATGCTAAACAGGAAAAAGTTGGAAAATCATTTCAACGGGTCTCGTCTCTTTTGGTAGTACTCAGTTGCAAGAGTATGAACGGGCCACAGCTCCTCAGCCCTATGGAATTGGAATGACAACTTTTAGTCGTTTTCCTTAGCAACCACCAAACGAATTGACTTGGAAAAGGTTTTATTAAAAAGATAACAAAAAAAAAACTGAGTAATATTCCGACGCTACATTTCTTGATCTCAAAGTTAAAAATTTTTGATGGGAACTTAAAGTTGCTTAAGAAAGCCCTTCTTTCGTTCCGTTCTTCATGAACATTTAAAAAATAATAAGGACCTATAAATACAAATTCAGGCGCCATAGTATTGAAGAGTATGAATGTCTGAATATATCTCTAACAAGGTTTTTTCCAGAGATTCTCATTGTGATAAATTTTAACCAAGATTGTAGCCCATCAAAATGTCAGAAATCCAGCTCTCAGCTGGCGCCATCTATGAGTGTAAAGACAATGAGTGTGCAGGCGAGCTGGTGATAGCTAATAATGTCATATAACACCTGGGACAGCGCTGGAAGAAATTGGAAACCTTTTACTAGAAGGAGCAGACACAGGAAGGGACGTCACAACTCAGCTCACTGGTTTATTTCTCGACCATCCTATATATACCCACGAAGCCTTCCCCTACCACACTCTACGCAGAAATCTCCTTTGTTGGAAACAGTTCCAAATGGAGAGAACATACATGACACACAAAGAGATCAAGCGCACGCACAGACAAAAGAAGCCCTTATCTGTAGGACACCTCGGGACGTGGATGTGACCTTGATAAAATTGTCGTCGACAGCACACATAAAACGAGAACACTGCAGGGCATCGCAGTGACCTTGAAAGAAAAGTGCCGAACTATCCTAAACGGTAGCACTGAAACCAAATTCTTAGGGGAAACACGTATTGGTGACCTCTAAAGCGCGGCGACGGACCCTAAGCGCATATTGTCTGCCTAATCCCTCTTTTTCTTCCCTTTTTTTCCCTTCCCTTTTCTCGCGAATCGATGTGTTCGTTTACAGTCTCAGAAAATTTTGGGAGATGCTTCCAAGTTGCATTGATGTTTGGCTTATGAAGTTTCCCATTGATCAATCAATCAATCAATCATTTTATTTTTTCAAGACAAATGCAAATTCGACTTGAACGGCCCGCTGGCCCAAAGGCAAAAAAGTTGCCTGACGAGGTGCCAGCGGCCGGTAAGGACGACAAAATCCAGCGGCAAATACAAAAAAAAATAAAAAGAATGTGCGCATGCAGAAACTTACCGCAACACAATATCGTAATAATACTCAGACACCATGCAAGGTAAAAAAAATTACATGTGCGTACAAACAACACCAGGAAGCACAATAAATCACACCACCCTCCATTAGACACTCTCAGAAAGTGAGAGAGAAGAAACATAATCTCGAAATAAGACAGATAAAATGGCCTATAAAGTACCCTATGTAAAAATGAGTATACCCTTGCTACTACCCTTGCTTGATACCCTTGCTGCTACGGTGCTGCCCTTCGACTGGGTTCCCCTCCAAAGGACCGAGCCTTAAGTAGGCCCGGCCCCCTGGCGACGGAACCCTCTCGACCCACGAAGATGCGTGAGGTTGAGCCGAGAGGGAACGTCGGCGGGGTTCCCAGCCGTTGGGAGCCATCGCAGCCAGCTGCCTTTATTGGTGAGAAGTACAGTGGCCGTCAGGGCCTCAAGAAAAGAAAAAGTGCGGCCATGGCCGCGGGTAAGGGCGTGAACAATTGCGGCATTGTCACAGTGGACGAGAGTTCTCGGGGGGGCACAAAGCAAAGCAAAAAACACCGCGTACAGTTCTCGTCGGTAGATTCCCTTGGGTGTCGAGGTGATGACGGCCAGGTTTCCGCTGGGCGCACAGACACCGAGGCCAGACAAGCTGGCGTCGGAGTAAACAGCGTGCTGCACCGCTGGGGGCACGAAGGGGACCGCAGCGGGCAGCATGGCTAAGGTAAAAGAAAACACATGTACCCACTCCAGTGGGGGGGGAATTCCGGTGAGGGCGGCCTGGTGAAGGGGACGCAGGGCGTGGTAATGCCCTTGGTAAATCGAAAAATAAAAGTTCCAAAGGCCAGCCAACCGCTGGTAGGTTGAAATGGTAAGCGGGGTCTTGAGCACTTGGAGGGTGTCAAGGAGGTCCCTGTAACGCGCGGGGGTATGTCCAATGGTGCCTGTGTTGCCGTCGAGAAAAATCCCAAAAACTTGATACGCTGGCTGGGTAGGAGTTGCGAGTCATCGGGGTTCAGGCGGAAGCCGCACTGGACGAGGTCAGCGACGAACTTGTCGGTTTGAACACGGAGAAAGTTAGGGTCGGCGTGGGAAAAAAGAAAATTGTCGACGTGCGACCAGCACCACAATCCGCGTGCCCTTGCTTCTCTCGTGATGGCGGTGGCCAGGCTTTGCATAACAAAGGGGGCAATCCTGATCCCGAAGGGGAGGACTCGAAACTGGTAATAACTTCCGTCCAGACGAAAACAGGTGAGAGGCCTTGTACGAGGATGAAGAAAAAAATGGTAGAAGGCATCTTTGAGGTCAATTTTTGTGAAAAAGGGTTCCTTGGGGAGGGGGCACTGAGTCAGAACCTTGGGCAAAGGTGGTAAACAAAACGGGGGAGACGGCAAGTGGGGAGTCAAGTGCGAACAGTCCAGTATAAATCTGGAGAGGGACTTGGACTTTGGGACGACCTGGATGGGGGAGAGGTACGGTCCTCTTGCGGTTTCTTCAATCACTCCCGCGTTAAGCATTGACGCGACGGCGTCTCGGAGCACAGGTAGTTGACTGAGGGGTGGGTTCCGGGCGTTGAAGACCGAAGCCTTTTTACTTTTGATTACAAGTGCCGAAGGATCGAAGGGTGGTGAGAACCCAAACGTTGTGCTTACCTTATCCCAGTTGACTAGGGGTGGTGGTAGACTGGGTCGAACTGGGGGGTGGGGTGCGCCGGCAGCCAGGAAGGCTGGCCTGCGGCTGTCGGTTTCTTCGGCGGCGTCGTCGTGGTCATCTGGGGGGGGGGGGGGGGCAGCGGTTCGTGGATGTGGAGCCAACGCAATATGCGCATCGCAGCATCCTCGAGGCTGTCGTGTTCATCTTCTGGTTCCTCGTCGTCGTCCGAGGGGGTGGAGGAAGGCTCCGACTCCGTGGATGATGAAGAGGTTCCGGTAAGGTTGTGCAGGTCAGGTTCTCTGGGAAGGCCAGGGATGTCCGGTGGCTGCTGTTGGCCGGCTATGCCGGCTTCCCGGATGGCTTGGGCAAGTATGTCTTCTGGACGGATTAGGTCCTGGAGGATCGCCAACGTCGGGATGCCATCTACAATGGCCAGCACGGACTGTGCCTCGCCGAGGACGAGTTCCAATCGTGCAGGCACACCGGTGGTTGCATCGTAGTACCGTAGGAGTTCCGCGCACTGAGGGGGGACGGAGACTCCGGGTGGTAGTGGCACGGGTGACACACAGTTTATGGCGTCACTTACGTCTCTTGGGGGAAGGCCGGGAGCAGAGACGAAGGAGGCCTGGAAGGGTTCGACCACTGGGGAAGGCCCGGTGGTTCCTTCACTGGGTGTCGGTGGGGCCGCAGGGTGGTCTCCTTGGGGAAGGCCCTGGGAGAGCTGGTCCTGGGCAGGGGTCTGGACGCTTGGGTCCAGGGGGCCGAGGGGGCCCACGTCTTGTTGGTTACTTTTTAGTCTTCTTGGGAGACTTGGGAGGAGGGCGCTGACTCTTTGTGGTCGGCCGGTTCCTGGTGGGGCTGGACGCCCTTTCGGCAGAGGTGGCTCGAGGCTGGAGGGGCCGGCGTGCAGGGACAGGGGGTCCCAGGAGTAGGGACGCACTGGGGTCAGCGTACCCGTCCAGGGCGGCTCCCCAACCGGACTGCGCAACGTGGTACAGGAGGCGCACTCGGTCAAAGATTTTGAGTTTGTCCCGGTTGGGGAGCCCTGTACATCTACAGTCCCACACTTGGACAAACATCTCGAGCAGCTGTAGTTCTGTGACTTCACGTTTCCCAATGTGCGGGGGACGTCGACACACCGGAGCCGTTCCCAAAGCGCGCTTTCGAAACAACACGTGACTGCGCACATGTGTTTGGTTTTTGCCCGCTCGGTGAGAACAGCGCGATCCTTTTTTTAGAGCGCAGCTCTTAGGCGCCCGTTTGAGCTTGAGCGGCGTCTGCGTCGCCGTCACCGTCGCCGTCGCCGTCGGCGTAACCAGGGTAACCCCAAGGTCACGTGACCCCCAGGACACGTGACCCCCCAAGGTCACGTGACCCCTCTCAAGGTCACCCCAAGGTCACGTGACCCCCAAGGCACGTGACCCCCCGGTCACGTGACCCCCAAGGTCTCCTGACCCCCGAGGTCACGTAACCCCCGGAGATCACGTGGCCCCCCTCCCCAAGGTCACGTGATCCCCCCCCCCCCCGAGGTCACGTGGCCCCTCTCCCCGAGGTCACGTGACCCCCCCAGAGCATATTAAAGAATCAGGGTAGGAGAAGGAGGAGGAGAAAGAGGGGTTGTAGTGGCCCTAAGCCACACAGCTCGCCGCACGCGAGAACGACCATGCGCACTTCTTCATTGGAGACGATTGATTTTCACTCCCGCTAGGGGAGACAAAAAAGGAGATCGACGAAAAAGAAGAGTAAAGCAGTTGAGATCTGGTAAGCAAGCTTTCAGGTCGTTCTTTCTCGGACCTCGCTCGCCACCTCAACATTGGTGACCCGGAACTTGGCAGCAGCGCCATGACCTCGCCACAAGAGCACGATCCCCTGTCGGTTTCCACCGTCAACATCAAGTTACCGCCCTTCTGGACCTCTGATCCAGAATTGTGGTTTATTCAAGTGGAATCACAATTCACTGCACGACGCATCACCGCAGACCTCACAAAATACCATCACGTGGTGAGTAGTCTGCCGCCCGCTACAGCGTGTGAGATCCACGAATTGCTGTTTGCTCCACCCGCGGAGGATGCGTACAAGACGCTCAAAGAGACCCTCATTTGAAGGGTTACCCGTTCAGAACCTCAGAGATTCCAGCAACTGCTTCGCGAAACTGAGCTCGGAGACCGCACACCGAGTCAGCTACTCCGTCAAATGCAACAACTGCTCGGGACCAGGACGACGGATCTCGACAGCATAATGCTCCGAGAACTCTTCCTCCAGCGGCTTCCTACAAACGTGCGGATAATACTCATCTCCGCCGGGGAAACGAACCTCTCCAAGTTGGCTGAGCTCGCCGACAGACTAATGGCCGTGCCCTCTTCCTCTGTCTCAGCCGTGCAAGCAGAGCCAGCTACTTCTGACCAGTTGCAAGACATTCGAGACGAGATATCGCGCCTAACCGCCACAGTAGCTGCACTGCAGGAGTCTGTTTCCCACCCGTCTAATCAGAGTACCAAGCCGCGACCACAACAGCAGCATAAGGTATGCTGGTATCACCGCAAGTACGGTAACGCCGCACGCAACTGCGTACCACCCTGCGAGCACTCGTCGGGAAACGGCCGGGGCCGGCACTGAGGGCGACCAGTGCCTCCGCCTTGCCAGAGAGTCGTCCCTCGGTCTTTTTCCTCACCGACCGCGACAAGGGCGTTCGTTTCCTTGTTGACACGAGCGCAGAGGTGAGCGTGATCCCGGCGTCGTCTGCCGATCGGAAACACCCGAACTCGTCTCCCTTGCAAGCCGTGAACAACTCGACAATCGCCACTTACGGGAACCGCTCTCTGTCCATCGACCTGGGCCTCAACAGAACGTTCCGCTGGGTATTTATAGTGGCCGACGTAAAGTTTGCGATCCTCGGAGCAGACGTTCTTCGGAACTTTGGCCTTTTAGTGGACGTGCGCAACAGACGGCTCCGAGATCCCGTCTCGCAAACGGCCGTGCAAGGCAAGCTTTCTAGGCACCCCCCATTGAGCCCCACGCTATTAGGACCATGGGGCCCTGCCAGCTTCACGGCAATCTTACAGAAATTCCCTGATTTGATGCGCCTTCCGCAAGCGGACTCGGCTGTGAAGCATGAAGTGCGTCACCACATTACCACCACAGGCCCGCCCGTCCACGCACGGCCCCGTCGTCTATCGCCGGAGAAGCTACGGGTAGCTCGTCAGGAATTCGACCACATGCTCAAGCTCGGGATAATCCGCCCATCATCCAGTCCCTGGGCATCCCCACTGCACATGTTGTCGAAGTCCACACCAGGAGACTGGCGCCCGTGCGGAGATTACCGAGCACTTAACAGAGCGACATTTCCTGACCGCTACCCGGTTCCACACATTCACGATATTACCACGAACTTACACGGCGCCAGTCTTCTCTAAATTGGATCTGGTTCGAGAATACCATCAAATCCCCGTGGCAACAGAAGACATTCCGAAGACGGCCATACCAACACCGTTTGGTCTATTCGAATTCCTCCGGATGCCGTTCGGTCTATGCAACGCAGCCCAGACATTCCAGCGCTTCATCGACGGCGTCCTGCATGGCCTTGACTTCTGTCACGCCTTCCTCGACGATGTACTCGTTGCAAGTAACTCGCCGGAAGAACACGAGGAACAACTGCGCACCGTTTTCCGGCGGCTCACTGAACACGGAATCGTGGTGAACACCGCGAAATGCGAACTCGGTGTACAGAAGTTGGCTTTCCTCGGCCACCTCATCTCAAGCTCGGGATTCTACCAACTCCAGAGAAGGTCGAAGCCATTAGACAGTTTCCCCCGCCAAACTCAAAACGTCAGCTTCGCGAGTTTCTCGGCCTGGTAAATTTCTATAGCCGCTTTGTTCCCCAGTGTGCGGCCATCCTGCACCCTCTTCACAGCCTCTTGGCAGCACCAAGGAGTTCAACCACTGCGCTTGACTGGACCGATGAGGCGACAGACGCTTTTCGAAGAATCACGAACTGTCTCGCAGATGCTGCACTCCTCGCCTACCCTCAGCCAGGGGTGCCACAATGTGTCATGGTCGACGGTTCGAATACAGCCGTCGGAGCCGTTTTGCAACACCTCAACGACGGAGTATGGCGACCAACCTCATTCTTCTCCAGGAAGCTGACACCTACTGAGCAACGCTACAGCACATTCGGGCGCGAACTACTCGCCATCTACGCGGGAATCAGGCACTTTCGCCATTTCCTGGAAGGAGTAGACATTGTTTATACTAACGGACCACAAGCCCTTGACCTACGCCCTCGTTCTCTCACCTCAGATGGCAGCGCCCACGCAGCGCGTGAACTGCGTCAGATGGCTTACATCTCGGAATTTACAACGGACATTCGCCACGTCAGAGCGGCAGACAACGGCGTGGAGGATGCGCTATCGCGTAACCCAATCAACGCTCTCAACTTGCCCCAGGAATTCGACTTAAGAAAATTGTCGCTAGCTCAGCGTGGCGATCCAGATTTGAGTCGACTGCAATCTACAAAAAACGCACTAAAGCTGCAGTGGTTGCCTCTCACCGGAGCGCAAGGCAAACTGTGCTGTGATGTTTCCACAGATAACCCCCGCCCTTTTGTGCCCTCCAGTCTCCGCCGGGATGCCTTCACATCGCTGCACATGCTGTCGCACCCAGGAATCCGTGCGACACAGAAGATAGTAACTTCCCGTTTCGTTTGGCCCGAGATGAACAGAGACGTCCGGCAATGGACTCGAGAGCGCCTGTCCTGTCAACGAACGAAAGTGCACCGTCACATAGTTACACCCTTGGCAAATTTCCCAACACCGGACGCTCGATTCGACCATGTCCATGTAGTCGGACCGCTGCCGCCCTGTCAAGGTCAGGCGTACCTGTTGACGTGTGTCGACCGTTTCACGCGTTGGGCGGAAGCAATTCCGATTCCCGATATCACTGCCGAAACAGTCGCTCGTGCCTTCCTCCATGACTGGCTCTCTCGTTTCGGCGTGCCGTATACCATCACAACGGACCGAGGCAGCCAATTTGAATCCACCCTCTTCAGTGCCTTTACTCAGGTCATTGGCACCACCCGTGTAAGAACCACGGCCTACCACCCAATGAGCAATGGCATGGTGGAGAGATTACATCGCCAACTCAAGGCAGCCTTGATGGCGAACGAGAAGCACTCCTGGATGGAAGCGCTTCTTCTCGCCCTCCTGGGCATCAGGACTGCTTGAAAGCAGACATCGGCTGCAGCGCAGCCGAGCTTGTCTACGGAACGACGCTGCGTCTCCCCGGCGAGTTCTTTTTGTCCAGCCAAAAGGAGGCCCAGATAAACCCCGGCGACTACGCGTCTCGTCTCCGCAGCATTATGGGCAAGCTTCGTGCTACACCCCCGCGTCAGCCAACGACATGAGCCATTCATCTGAGCACAGACCTCGCATCCCGCACGCACGTGTTTGTTCGACACGACGTGGTGCGACGATCACTTCAGCCTCCGTACGATGGACCGTACAAGGTTTTGCGTAGGGGGGATAAGATGTTCACAATCGACAGGCGCGGTCGTCGGGAGGTCGTGTCAGTTGACCGTTTAAAACCGGCCCAAGGGTCTTTCGGAACCACGGCAGCCACCCCCGCCGCGAACACACCCCTCGCCAGACCGCCGGCTCCATCTACGGAGATCCCGAACTGACCCCCGCTGCCCCCGCCAACTAGCATCGGGCAGAACACGCGCTGTGAATGGCGCACCAAACAACCCCCCACCCCCCCTTCGTCTAAATTTGTGATCTATTTTTTTTTCTTCCTTTTCAGCCGTGAAATCGTTCGCGCACTCACTAGAGGGGGAGTGTTGTAGTGGCTCTAAGCCACACAGCTCGCCGCACGCGAGAACGACCATGCGCACTTCTTCATTGAAGACGATTGATTTTCACTCCCGCTAGGGGAGACAAAAAAAGGAGATCGACGAAAAAGAAGAATAAAGCAGTTGAGATCTGGTACGCAAGCTTTCAGGTCGTTCTTTCTCGGACCTCGTTCGCCACCTCAACAGGGTCTACCCTCCCCTCAGTACCCTTCCCTCCTCCTCCTCAAGAGCCGCGCTCCAATTCGGCGTTACAGGGAGTTGTAAACTGTTTTCACTTTTATTAGTGCTTACCGTCATTAACATTTTCTTGACGCTCAACTGGCAAAGCTGGCAGATGCGAGCAACACTGTCTTCGATGCCAAGAATAGTTTAACTAAAGCGCCTAATTATTCTGAACTGTGATCAAGTTCAGACTTTTTTTACAGCTTTCTACACTTTCTCTTATTGATTGTGTCGCGATTTGAAAGATTCGCGTTTTTTATAAGGACAATACTCCCCCTTCCACGCACAAATTTGAATCGGCAAATAAAATAAATGTCACTGCGAAGACTTTGTTTATTACAACGAAAAAAAGCGTCGTCTCACGCGTGACTCGTCCCCCTCGAAAGCAGGCCGCACGTAAGAAAAAAAGATTGCTACGAACGATAGCTATATCTGTTTCGAAGCACCCCTGCGATTCAAAATTGGGAACGTTCCGGCCACTTTTGGCCGGAACGAAATAGCGAAATATAGCGCCGCCTGTGGCGGTTTCACCGCACCGGCCAAGAATCACTTGTGTCAATCTTTTTTACGGCCGACTGTACATAGTGTAAAAATGAGCATAATGCTTGTGTATGGAAGGCATTACACGATTAAAAATACCATATATTCTACGGTCGTCAGTCAAAAGGACAATCTAAAACATTGACAAATAAAAAAATGGTCAGAAAAAAAACTCCCTGCCCATAATTCACTTTAAAACAATAATAACAACCTATGCAGGCAAAAGTAAAAACTAAGCTGGACAATTTATCGATTCACCTGCCGATTATTCGATTAATGCTTTAATGGGGATTAATTTGTTTAACCGGTTAATCGAAAAATTTTGACGAACCAAAATTAAGCAAAAATTAAATGCTTTCACTATGCAGGCCTGGACGCGAGCACACCTATATGAAGTGAAAAAATTAAGGTAAAGTATTAACTTAAGGTAAACTGTAAGTGGGAGATTTGTAACTTCAGACATGTGCAGAGGGTTACACATGTCCCAGCGACTTCAACACCGTGAAAGTGTCCGTTTGGCGCAGCAGAGACTACTGTGAGCAATGAAAGGAGGTCGCCCTTTTCGGAGATTATTAATGAACATTTTTGCCTCATGCAGCTGAAGTAATAATGTGTGAGTGTTTTCTAACTGTTTTACATAATATTGAAGTTGATTCAGAATTAAAATGATTGCGTCGTTTAACAGATACTCAGCAAAAATATAGATGCAATTTTTATTTTTAATCAATATTATTATGCATGGAAATGAACGAGACCGATTAATCGATTAATTAATCGATTAAAGGGTGGCGATTAATTGGGTTAAAATTTTTAATCGACGCCCAGCCCTAGTAAAAACAATAATACATTTACATAATATGTAGCTCATGTTTGACCAAGAAGGAGCGCAGCTGTTTTTTAAAAGCCCCCGTCGTGCCGGCAAGCGATACGTTGTTGCCTGGAGCGTTTAAGAGCTTTTAAAGTGGTTGCCTAGAGCGTTTAAGAACGACCCTCATAGTGTCATCTCTCTCTTTAAGTAGAACTTCCGTTTCTGGCCAGAGCGTACAATTGTTGCATTCCTCGATCTGCTTTGCAATTTCCGAGTTCTGCGCTTCCGTGTTTACATTTCTCCTGTGTTCTAATAACTTATCGTTGAGGCATCTCGAGGTTTGTCCCACGTACTTGAATCCGCATGTTAACGGAATTTTATATACTACACTTTCTTTACACGGAGCTGAAGGTTCCCAATGGGCCTTCTTACAGCATCTGTGGTTTGACAGAAATGGCGTCAGCCTGCTCATTTTGAAATCTGAGGGGAACACTACGCCTACTCCTAACTTTTTGGCGCAAGCCTTTAGGCTGTGGGAAATGCCGTAGAAATATGGGATTACTGCTATCTTTTCTTTGTTCTTTTTTTCTTTTCCTGGTGTCCATTTTGAAGTTTTATCTCTAACTGCCTTTTGATGAATTTCTCTTTCATATCCTGCAGATTCCAGCCTCAACCACTCTTCCTTGACCGCATTAACCATAAAATGAGTGCATTATTAACGCAATGCGTTAGTTACTAAGGGCTTCACTACCCATTGCTTTAACCGATTTGGCTTGGCAACTCTTCCTACGTAGCACACGTTTGCCGGCTGTTTTTCCAGTACTCCCAACAAAGAGCTTGTTCGGCATGTATGCGTAAATCAAGAAACTGCAGAACCCCATTTGCAGGTTGTTCGGTGGTAAACTTAAGCTCCGGAGGGCTGTTTTCTTACAATCGATTCCAAACACCGAGCATCCTTCATTCAAAAAGCGCAAATAAAAATATCATCAAAGTAAATTTTTACCAAGCATTGATTCAAGTTCTTTTCGTTAAGGGTTTCAGTTACGCACCTATCTAAGGTGTTCAGATAGATTTTCGCTAACATCGGTTAGCTGAGTTTGAGACGCCCCTTTCTGTGTCTGTTCTATCTACTAAATAGTTTGTAATTTATTCCACCACAGTCTCAGGTGTTATATGACACGGTTATCTATGAGTGTTTCGGCAATATTTCCTCTTCAAATTGTGCAATGTGTTATATCTCCCTGGGCTACTTGCGTCTTCAACATTTCGTCATCTTTCCTTTTTTTAGATTGTATAAATTTTGTTATAACAGAACCCCCTTGCCTTTTTAAAGTGATTCCGTTTTTTATTTTTATATGTATTTTTTTTACCCTTTCTTATATCTCACCCACCAATCTTCCAATACCTCTTAGTTACCATAATTTTCTCCCAATCCATTTGTCCATCCATGTCTGTAAATTCTAGTGCCCCCTCAAAATCCGCAGTCATCCCCCCCAGGAGGGCGGGACAAAGCCCCTGCACCTTAAAGGGGTCGTGCAAAGAAAATATATATGAACAGTCCTAATTTTATAAAATTGATGAGACTTCAAAGATCCCAAATCCCAAATATCACGGCGAAATATTACGTCCACATTTTATAAACAGTGTTTGAACTTAGCGTTTCTTGGGGTGCCTGGAACGACTATGCGACACCGTTGCCCAGCTTGAGCAACAAAACGTCACAATAAGACCTGTGTAATGTTGAGTATGTACTGTATTCTATATTGTGTTGCAATAATAAAAAGTAAATTATGAAAATAGTAAGGAAGTTACTGGCGTTCTAAAACTAATTCGGAAGTACTATATCACGTGATCGCAGGGAAGTTTCGTTTTCAAAGAGATTCGAGACTTCCGTCGTCCGGCAACCATAGCAGCGCCGGCTCGCCGCGTCCCCGCTCCTGTCGCCCCGTCGTCTGCTCGCCGCTGCGCATTTTCTGTGCGGGGCAAGTTTCGGTTGTTGTGTGTGCTTGGCGTCGTTGGCGTCTGTTGTGTGCGCGCTTCAGCACTTGCCATGCCGACCGTGTGTCTTGTGAGAGAGTGCAGCACGAGGTATGGTAAAACGAACGACATTCGGTTCCATAAGTTACCGGACCATCCACAGCGAAGATCGGCCTGGCTTCGAGCCATTGACCGCGATGGCCCGGACAACATCGGTAGGAGCCAGGGCTACCTGTGTTCCCATCACTTTTTAACTGGGGACTACGATATGAACATTGAAGTGCGGCGAAGCCTTGGCCTGGACACGAAACGGGCGCGTCTCAAGCCAGATGCCGTGCCCACACAACATCTCTGGTTCGACGCACCGCCAAAAAAACGAAGGTCTGAGGTACGTTCGTGCGACGTGAACTATCAAAATTCGTTCAGCTTTCTAAGTAATGTCTTGGTTAATTATGTCGTTCTAGGATCTCAGCGGCTCACCGGACGTCGTTGACATGATCGTCGAAGAAGGTCCGATTCCAAGTTGAACAGTAGACGGCTGGACACAAACGACCAGAAACGCCGTCACAGCTCTCTGCCAGACTCACGGGGGAGACGTCCAAACACAGTGTAAGGTTGTCATTTTTAGTCTGGTGCAACAATTTCCTTTAAGGTGGATGCAGTATACATTCATTGCATCCGTAATTTGTTCTCGAATATGGTGCCTGAACGGTGATTGCTATAAAATATAGCTACTCTCAACTCTGAACTGTAATATCAGTTTCACCTCGGAAGAATCGAACTGAAATGAATATATACAAAACAGAAGGGCTTTAGCTTATATGACAACTATTTTTTCTTGCAAGTTTAGAAAGAGTTATATACATAAAAATGGGACGGGACAACAGAAAGATGTGTTGTCCCATCCCCTGTCTTTATGTATATCACTGTTTCTAAACTTACATCATTACCAACGTGCTCACTAACAAGTATATTTTTCTTATTTGTCTATTTATTAACAGTTACGCAGGCGAGCTTCTCTGTTTGGGCAAAGAGAACTGTGGGGGTGCAGACAGATACACGGCAGTCGACTGGCAAGTGCACACAGTGTGGAGTTGTGTCTACTGACACTGCTGCTTCTGTCTCCGAAGCAGCTCCCCCTGCTCCTCCCCTGCCCCTTCCCTCAGTTGCGCCTGTGGCAGGACGAATGCCCTCTCCCATCCCGTTCCTGTCCCATCGTCTGCCACGCACATCCAGTCCTGTTGAATCTGATGCTTCAGACTTGGAGTATGAAGAGGACAACGACCAGGAGGAAAAGGGCTATCGGGAAGAGGAGGACGACGAGGAAGGAGAAGACGAGCAAGAAGAAGAGGAGGAAGAGGACAATGTGGAACAAGACTCCGAATTCTTCCCTTCATTCAACGAGACATTCTTGAAGTAATACTCTCTACTTTCTTTACACCCTGCATGGTTTGCATGAGATAATGTATTACAAACATATTACTCAATCAGGTCATCTTTTTAGGGAGCAAAGCACAGAGATGTAACTGCAATACAAATTTTAGGCTTTTGATTCCCCAGAATAATTTTATACTTTGCTCTAGTTTTCTCTCAGTAAAAAGCAGGTGAGCAATATTTGCCCTGGAAAGTTCAAGAAGGTAGCAAAATAAAATTGTTTGGTTGACTTCGTCATGCTGTGGAGCACGGGTGTGCAAAGTTGTCAGGCTTGGCACGCTTAAAATACTTGAGCACCCCCACCCCTTGGGGTTCATTTATAAGTTATGCTTACTAATGAGTCCAGTTTTCATTCATTTAGTGCTTTCCCCTGATGCCCATAAAAATACAAATTAAACTAAGTAAAGCCTTTCCTTGCACAGCAAACTGTAAGAGGTGACGGGTGCACCTGCAATATCCATGATTATTAATTTTTGGCCAAATTTAGAAAAATAAACTGAGGTTTGGCCCTATATAAAGATGTAACCAACATTTTCTCTATTTTTGACAAGGCTGAAAATGAAAATTCGTACATGTACAGTGACGCAACAGCTAGAAGAACGAACGCTCTGTTTGTCAACAGCCGCATACTTGCGCTCTTCAACAAAGATGTTTCCAATCAGTCAAGTGCCCACATTCCTTTGTGTCAACACAGACACCTCAGAGGAAAATAATGTTCTCTTCATTGTCAACTATTGAGAACACGATGACAGCTGCCGGGTATCTTTTGTGCCTTTCCTGACAGGCATGTGCTGTGCAGTGGATTAAGAAATCCCGCTAGTTGAAGCTGATAGTAAAACATTTGAAGCAGTGCCAAGGCGTGTCTTTCAGTAGCTTAATTGGCGGGTCCCGGAGGCCCGGCAACCACCAGACATGATCCCGTGACCCCTCGCGGAAGCGGTGTTGCAAGTTCCACTTTGCACACTTCAACTAACTTTAGAGGACTGTCTACTCTTCTAGTGCACATCCAAAGTACTGAGTGGTCCCACACAATACCACTAACACACACTGTTAGAATGTCAGTTTGTAGGAATGGACGTCACGTTGTAAAGCATGATATGCGTACGTGCATGATGGATTTTCAGTTTATTGGACAGTGGCAAATACAATAATGCACACTGGAACACAAAAGAGAGTTCCTTTCTGAGCAGTTTCGTCAACTCCTCTGGTATTTTTATTCTTGTAAATTATTATCCCCAATAGCCCAAAACAGGAATGATGGATGTCGTGCGTCTCATCTATTACTACACTCATGCTTTTTCAGACGTGATAGCAACATTGAAGAGGTCCTCCCGGAGAATGAAAGAAAGTTCATCGTGTTTGAGACATCTCTAAAAGAACTCTTCAGGGTGTGCCGGAAATGCCATGCACCATGCGAGAGTGTGTCGAAGGTGTCGGGGACACTGCTGAAAGTGCAGACGCTCTGCGTGAACAGTCACTGTCTTCTGTGGAAGAGCCAACCGATTCTACACGGCAAGCCAGCGGGCAGCGTACTGATGTCGGCAGCAATACTTTTCACCGGGACGAGCCCCACCAGCGTGCTACGAGTACTCAAACATATCAACGTGCAGGTGTTTGGAGCCCGAACGTTCTTCAATTATCAGCGCGGATACTTGCTTCCCGCAATCAACAAGGTAAGATGGACTATTCTATAATAGCAAAGAATCCTTTAAGCAGACTTTCCTATATTAGCCGGCATTGTTATTAACAGTGCCAACATCTCCATTATTTTTGTGTTTTATTATAAAAAAGATATGTTCAAATGTGTCAGGGACTGCAGTTTCAAGATTTTTACGTTCTTGATTATCTTGGTTTGGTTGTATATTCATCCATATAAAAATATAGCTCATTTTGGCACACACGACCTTGTAGTGATTTTTCTTGATATTTTCACTTTGAGGTAATGACACAAGAAACAACCATGATGAGGGACCTTTAGCTGGGACAAAGTGTTGTAATTCAGTTAATTCTGCATTACACAATCACACTTCCTAAAACCTGCACAGTCATATAGTTAGCGCGTCAAGCAATGTCGGTACTTGTAAGAGGCACAATGGGCATCTTTACCTAGGAATGTTACTAGTTGTACTACTGTGTAGATGTCAAAAAATGTGTCAGATGCACTGGTAGTTCCAGACCGGCTAAAGCACTACATTATCTAGCTCCTTTTTTTACCTTCCCTCGGGGTTGGCTAAGTATGTCATGTCATGTCATGAATACCTTTTTGAGCAGCCTCATCAAGACGTGAAGAAATAGTCCTCAAGCATGCGAGAATTAATCATTCCAGCATTTCATAAAATCTGCATTATTTTTTTGATGAAAACATCTGTAATGGTTATAGTATTCAGTTTCAACTACGCCTCTGGTTTTCTTCTCTGGCATTAGGGGTTTTTATATGCTAATGACAGTCTCTGAACATTCATAAAGTAAGATAGGCTTTTGCAGTTTACAAAAGTATACTTACATATGTAATTGAAATTTTGCAAAAATTAAATTTGCTTGTTCCAAAGAATGAGCATGCCAATTTTTTTGTCTTTATGGCTACAGTTTTTGTCCGAGATGTTCACATGCTGACAGAAATAGTGTGAACAAATAAGTCTGTTTTATTAGTGTTGTAAGCTGACAAAACCTGCCCCGATTTTTTTTTTTTATCATTGTCTCATTCCAGATCTGGCAACAACAGCAGGACGAGCTGTTCGGTGAACTGGTGGGCCACGAGGTAGACCTCGCTGGTGACGGGCGGTACGACTCGCCTGGCTTCTGTGCGAAATACATGACTTACTCCTTGCACGCCGCTCAGGTGAAGAAGATTCTCCACTTCGAGCAAGTGCAAGTTGGGGAGGTAAGTTACAGCTACTATAACAAGATAGCCTTGTTTTATGACTAGGTTTCTTTCCTCTCCAAAAGTGTGCAGAGGCTAAATCCAGCACTGCCATGGAAAAACATGGATTTATCAAGTGCCTGGAAAAGGTGAAGGGGCAGGGGCTCAAGGTCGCGTCTGTGACCACGGACAGACATGTCCAAGTGACGAAGTACATGCGTACGGAGGAGCCCATGATCCGACACTACTTCGACGGCTGGCACATTTCAAAAGGTACATGGCTTTCAATGTGCAACTACATGCTGGAGTTTGAGGCAAATCTTGGGCATGCCCAACTTAGGCTGCCCATATAAAAACTTGTGGGACCCACCTAGGCTCCACAGGGTCTAAAAGCAATGATGTGGGCTCCAGGGCGCCTAAGCATGGGCATGCCAACTAACGGAACATTTAGATTAAAATGATTTATATTGTAGGGGGGAAGCTTTTTAGGGGCTAGTCATGTCCATGTCCGTATGTCTCTCCGGCGTCGGGGGCTCGTGCTCCTGCTCGTGAGCTCACGAGCACGTCCCGTCCTCGTGTAGGGAAAAAAACAAAGAAACAACCGCATCTCCACGTGGTTAATGATGTTGATTGGGGCGAAGCTCTGTTGGTGCCTGTTTGCGTAGACGGTGAGCCGCAGCATGCCGAGCTTTTCGTTTGCTTTCATCCATGTCAGAAAGAGAATGTGTGGTATGGAAGGTAGTTATATACGCATCTGAGCATTTGACCGCGCGTGACATGGATGAAAACGAACGAAAGGCTGGGCATGCTGCGGCTCAGCGTCTACACAGACAAGCACCACCAGAGCTTCGCCCCAATCAACATCATTCACCACGTGGAGATGCGGTTGTTTCTTTGGATTAAAAGCGGCCGCCGAGCGCCTCCCCCCCTCCCCGTTTCCTGTGGGGGCCCTCTGTTCTTAACCGCCCCTACGCCCCTCCACGCCCCCCTCTAAGCTTCCACGATAGGGGCGGCGGAGGCTGCCTTCTTAAACGTCCCGCGAACCGACAAAGGAATGCAGATCTCGAATGGAGATATTGTTTTCAAGGTTCCACATCTATTGCATCATGTCTCTAGCTACCAGCATAGACTGCTTCCACGTACACCAGCTCACTTAGTACTTTTTCCCTTGAGTCACACTGTCATGACCACGACAACAGGAAAAAACAAACAGTGGGGAGCGCATATCCCACCATATTTTTTTAAAGGACGCGAGAAATAAAGTTTTACTTGCAGGAGCAGATCAGCAAATCTGATATATATTTTGAGCACCTAGACTAACACCTTAACCCATTTCTTCATGTGCATTGTTGTATCACGAATGTAAGAAGCACTTTCCACTGTGTTTGTTACAATTAAATCATACCTTTTAGGCAGACTTTCTATTCTATTACGAGGCATATTTTCATTGTTTGACTCTCCCAAGTAGGACAAGAGCTGGGGAATTGGTGGGGCAATAGGGTTTCCGACAGCCTTTACGAAACCCACGTTGGTCCCACATGGGTGCAGCATGAAATGGACACGCCCAATATGGGCTGCCCATGGAGTGCCACGGTCGGTCCCACCTCAAATATGCGAGGTTGGACACAGCTTGGGCAGGCCCAAATTGGGCTGTGCATGCAATACCCTCGTGGGTTCGACCTCAGTTACGCTAAGGCACACCCAATTGGGGCTTTCGTGGGTCTTGCGTCGGCTGGGGGGGGGGGGAGGGGGGGGGGCACAGTTGCGGAGGTGTGGGCTTCAGGGGGGCAAAGTATCGGCATGCCCGTGCAGTACCTCCGTGGGTCCCACCTTGGCAATGCGGAGGCCAAATTAGCGAAAATATGGGCAAAGTTGAGCTTGCCATGTAAAACCATTGTGGGCCCTACCTCGGCTCTGCAATGGCCCAATCGACTGTGGAGTGTGGGCATGCCCAACTCGGGCTGCCCATGTAAAACCCCCGTGAATCCCCCCTCGGCTGTACGGGGGCCAAAGGCAATGATGTGGCCTCCACAGCGGCTAAGTGTGGACGTGCCCGAGTTGGGCTGCCCATGTAAAACCTTCGTGACCTGCAAAACCAATGTGGGACCCACGTTCACGGGGGATGGGGCAGCCTACATGGGCTTCCCTCTCGGCTCCCCTTTAGGAGCCCACTTTTTGCTCATTGGGCTTCTATTTATGAGACAGACAACGGCTTTGTGGTAACCATATTACACCCTGTAATACAAAAGCTCGGAAGGAGATAAATTACTAGTAGGTATGTAATTGCAGTTCCAATTCTACCTCACTTATAGGCATCAAGAAGAAGCTGGCTGCTCAAACGAAGCGTGCTGGATGTGGCATGCTCGAAGTCTGGATCCAGCCAGCCAGCAACCATCTCTTCTGGTGTGCTGCCATCTGTGACGGCAACCAAGACTTGCTCGTCGACATGTGGCGGAGCATACAAGCCCATGTCGCAAACATACACGAGGGCCACCCAGGTCTCTACTCACACTGTGCCCATGATGACCTCGGAGACAGGCAATGGCTCGCCCCTGGTAAGCATGTTTGTGTTTGAATCTCGCAAGTGCTTTTGGAAGATATCTTGCGTTCACTTCTAGCATAATGATTTAATTTACTCAGTATCTCCCTGCGATAGATTGCAGCCAATGGTATGGGCCATCCCAGCCAATCCGGCTCTTATTAAACTTGCACTCTGCATATTGCTGTGTCTAACCAGAAAGTCACATGGCATGCTCGCAGCATTTGGTTGGTTCTGACGGCTTGTAGTGTCCAGAGTGGTTCATGTAGAAGAAGAAAGAGTACAGCTGTGCATCATGTTATGCATACATACACTCACTACATAGAAACTCTAATATTCAGCTGCAGGGAGCCTTGAGGCAGCAACACAATGTACGGTAACCTGTCCTTCTTTTCCACCAGAAGTATGTACTGTATGCCCACCCTTAATATGATACATGGCCTCTGAAGTGACTAATTTGTTAACAAGAGGGCTTAGTGTCCGCATTTAGTTAGTGGGTAAATATTTCTCAGGTGACATAACTGGCACTGGAATAATTCTGCCTAATCACGTGCTGCCTATACTGCCTGCCTAACAAATGTTATAAAAATATTATCTTGTAGCTTGTATGCCAAAATCAAATAACTATATATTAGAAAGTTTGTTGCCCTTTCTAATGATTGCAGGCACACGAGCACATGACAAGTTCGTTGAGGTTACCATGGCACCACGTCTACTCAAGAATATTCGGCAGCTGGCCCCTTCCACACACACATTCAGCCTGGAGTCCTTCCATAGTGTGCTGAACGGGTTTGCGCCCAAGTCTGTGTCCTTCTCCCCCAACGGCATGCGTGCAAGGTAAGTGACAAAGAAGCTCGTCTGCAAAGATTCAAATTTACAAAGATCCTTGGTTTATTTGTCTCATTCCAGAACACAACTGGCAATATTGCACTTCAACGAGAATGCGAACAACCCGCAAGCGATCACTGCTGATGGATTGCCTCAGTGGAAGATCTCGTATCCGAAATCAAAAAAGGGAATGGCTGTTGCCCGTCCCAAGCAAGCTGGCCCCTCGTACAGTAAGTGGACTGCTTAGTGTTGTGACGAATCTTGATTTTAGAGTGCAGGAAAGCATCAGGAAAGCGTCAGTTCAGAACGAATGTTCTGCTCTAATGACTTAATCCTCACAAAAGTCTTGTCAGTGTCCGATATGTTGCATGGCGAGAATGTTGTGTCTTGTACTATCCCTGTGCATTTATTCAATTTCAGACTATGTCAACCTGCTGCTGAAAGAAACGACAAACTGCTGCAAAATGTGGCCATCGTTCAAGGTAGCTTTCGCAGCAAACCCCTCCACCGCCCCCCCCCACCCATGAGCCACTCCTTCCCAAGGCCTTCGAAGAACGAGCTGGTTGCAGCAAGGAGGTCTAGGTTCGCCCAATCCACGAAGAGCACCACACTGTAGATCAGGTGGGTGCTCCTCTATATCATTAGCTTATTGATGCTGATAGGAAGACATTGAGTTTATGAAAATTTATTTGTAGACACTGCAATTACATGGGAGAGGGTACATAATTTATATACTACAGAACACGGTTTACATTCCGAAAATACCTCATTTCCTTTATCCTTATACAATTTTAAATAAGATCAGGTACATATTCACTTCACAGGCAATGCAGTAATAAATGCAAACTATTACTGTCTGCTATGTGCTATCATCTAATCCATCATTTCTCACACACTGCTAACAGCAACCCATCAAAAATAAAAAAAGACATGTTGTGACCATCATTTCCCCCCTGTTTTCGTAATGCGACTAGTCACTAATGCAGAAAATGAGGGTTTACTTCACAGTTGATATAACTATAGTCTGTTGCAGCTCAAGAATGGCAGGCGAGTGGAGAGTAGGAAACCACTTATCAGGATTGGTGGCTTTCTCCTCTCCTTTTAAGCATTCAGTGCAAATGTGGAGGGAAAAGGGGAGACTTCTGCTGTTCTTGAGTTGCAAAATATCATACTATAAGTTACAAAAACCACCACAAAACGTGGGCCTGACTGCTTATAAACACAAGGCTGATGTTTGGATATCGCTACTCACTCTTCTGACTCGATGTGGAGCTCGAACCAATGCTTTATTTTTATTAATGCCACCACTAAGGAGCCAAGCTTTCGTAAGTGTGTTGCGGCATAGGCAGCAGAACACTCACAACTAAGGTACTCAAAAGTAGGTACTCTCCTGTTAAACTGCCCAAACCCTGGAAGTGGCTAAGGTTCAAAATAGCAGCCTCAAATACTGAATTAATGTAATGTCTACATACATTGTGCTCAGCAGATGTCTGATCTAGACAAGCAAGCTTCACTGGCTTTAGGGGGATTAGTTCTCGAATTGCACTGCTGAAGGATATCATTCGCTGTACCCTTGTTCAACTTCCCAAGATGCTACACAACCACCTGTTTAATGTTTTGTGACCGTCTTAACTTTAGCCTGACGTTGAGGAAAGAATGTGCGCCCTGTTTACCTGTAAAGCATTCAGATATTGTGCATAATCCTTCATCGGAAAATTACGTTCAACTCTGAAAATATCTGTATAATGCGCGGTCTTGCCTTGATAAGCAGTGACAAACAGTCCTGGGCGATTTTTTTTCATGGAAAGTAAGATACATTCCTTATGTAGTCTTCATTTATACATGATTGCAAATCAAAACCGAAACTTTAGCTGCAGAAGGCAAGACTGGTATCAGATTGTCAATAACATGGCACATTCACATGGTATGAACAGTTACATGAGTTATCATGCGAAAAGGCATGCTCGACTAAGTTCAGCGAATGCAAAATGGCACTCACCGCACTGATGCAATCTGTTGGCTTCGCATGGAAAAGCAAAAAGACAACTGAAGGTCAAACTGTCAACAAGACATATCAACCTAAACTCGTTTTAACAGACTTTGCTAGTGCCTAGGATTTAGGGCTGTTGTAAAAGAAGTATGCAGAATGCAGACACAAAGTTGGATCAGTGGCACAGATAGAAAACCTACCAAACTTGACAAATCAGTATGTTATATTTGAATGTCTGTTGTAATGCGTTTATACTGCAATAACAGTGTTAGCTAAAGTGAACAAGCGGTACAAACTGCCATGTTGGTTGTACAGTCTGCCTCCCACTTGAGTTGGTTCATCTCTGTGACTTGACGCATCTCAAACTTATGACTAGTACATTAAACATTTAAATGAAATTGTATAGTAATATTTGACCCGTAGACTACCTTGATGATACTAAAAATTTGGTGTTTTCGCAATGACAAAATTGAAAAGACTATCTTTTATGGATTTTAGACATCACCCTCTAATTCTGGTGCACCCCCTTTCCCTTTTTAATTAACACAATGTGAACAGCATAATAACTTTGGCAAAGATTTTAGTTTCTGTTTGCATACTGAAAGCCAGTGTAATCCTCTGACGGAAATCTCTCCCTTATCTTGTGTACAGCACAGGCTGGGAGGACCTTCCTGTGATTCCTGCCCAGGCGTCCCCAAAGCCAGTGCGCCAGTTGGCTATAGCTGATGTACCGGTACCGTCTGTTGACATGGAGAAAATTGTTGCTTCATATCATCCCAATTGTATTCAGCACTGTTAATTGAAAATCAAAACGTCCAACTTGCTTACAAGATGGCCAACTTAATGTTGTTAGACTGTTGAGGCAACACATACCGATATTCAAAACTGCACACTGTATACAAACTCGTTTGCATCACCAGGTACTGGTGCTACAGCTGCACGGTGCCAAAGACACAGCTCACATATTACGTGTAGCACAAATCCTTGTTTTACATTTTGTAACGGTTCAATAAGAATCGTTCTGAACCTTGAATTGTCCTTTATGTCGACTGTAGCCTCAGCCACTCGTCTCGTTTTGTTTTGTTTCTTCTACTTCATTGTATTCTCTTCATGCTACACCTTCTCCTCCCATGAAAAGGTTCACAACCTGTGAACTAATGTGAGGATAAAGTCTCGAAAGCGTGCCGGCAGAGAGAGACTTGTACGGTTCCGCAGGTTCATACTAAAGCCAGTGCTCGACGTCTCAGTTGGCACAGGTGGCGTCTGTTGTGTATTTATAGGTTCTTCTTGGCTCCCATTTCTCATTGGCGATGATGCTCGGGGTCTAACGTCTTGATTATTCGGTCAGGTTCGGTATTTGGGTCACTTAGTATTTCAGATGAGTGATGTTCCTGTGTGTCTTCCATCGTGATTTTGTTGAACTGCTTGTCAATGTAGATTGCTTCAACTTCGTTAGAAGGCTGCATCGTTTCTTGACATGACCGAAGCAAGTCAGGCGGAGGGTCATTGCTTGCCGTAGAGGGTTGTTCACTCTTTTGAAAAGCAATGCTAGCGCCCTGCGTTTCTTCCTTGAATTCAAACAACTCAGGTGGACAATCGTCTGTTTTCATGTGGTTGCCATTCCTGTTCGGAGATAAAAAGAATGTCCCAGGAACCTTCTGTAGCACTTGCGCCTGCAGGCAGGCCGCTGTCTATGGCACCTAGATGATTGGAGTTGCCGGTAAGGTTTCAGTCTGTTACGATGCACAACGACCTGCTTGTGTCTAGAGGCTTCAAGCTCAATCCGAAATGTGTTCCTGAAACTTTCTTGACAACACTATAGGGCCCCTGTCATGGCAAGTGGAATTTTGACAATTTGCCCCGTTTCGCCGCTGGGCAGTGAAGTAACAGTTTGTCGCCAACTTTAAAATCTTGCTAGTGAACGTTCCGATCGTCATACTGTTTTCTGATGCTCTGCATCGGCGTTATGCAGTGTTGCAGCTGCTAAGATGCGGCAAAAGTCGTCGAGGAGATTCTTTCAGGGGCTGCGACGTGCAAATTTCGATACGGTGTTCGATAACTTCTGTGCGGCCAATATCAAAGTCTCCCTGGGAAATGACGTCCTTGAGGGAAAATAAGAGGTTTCCTAGGTGCAGGAGATCTTGGCTAAATATTTGTGTTTTAAAAAGAATAGTACAAAGCAGATGTTCTTTGTTCCATTTGTTTTGGTGAAGTGTCATGCATGCGGATTCTTGTGTGCTGCTGGCATTTTTGGAGGAGTCTTTGAAATAAGAAGTCGTCATTGGCGTTACTAATATGATCAATGAGCCCTTGTTCCCTGGTATAATCGGACCGCTTGTTTTGTGTCGTTCAGAACGCAAACTGGAATGGTGCTCCGAACCACAACATGCTCTAGAGTGATGTCGCTTCTTTTCGCTAAAGGAGGTCTATACAAGGTTCCAAGACACCATCAATTGCCGGTCCCTCATAGTTAAACTTGGCCATCGACAAAAACTACACTGCGAGGCGAAAGCCTCACTGGAGTAAAAATTCTCAGTGGCTCCATTTTTTCTCCGGTAGTTTCTGCACATGGTTTCTTTGCTTGCAACGAGAAATCCAAAATGTTAAGACAGAACCCGTTCTAGTGAGGAAGTCAGTGCCAAGGATGCACTCCTGGGTTATACAGCGAATGACTAACACTGGATGTGCAGTCCCGATGCCTGCAACCTCGGTTTATGGGTAGCAAGTGCCTTCCTTGTTCAAAGTTCCACAATTCAAGGCGTGTACATTGCGCTGTTCGGGTACGATTGCGGGCTTTGCATCCAGTAATAGCGTCCATGCGTTAAAGGCAATGATAGCTACTGACAACCCCGAATCAATGAAGTAGTTTAGTAAAACACCTGCGATTGCCTCTAGTGCCATGACAAGCTCTGTAGCTTTTGTTCAGCCCCGTGTTGGTTGGGTGCCTGCGCAGGGCTCCATGTTGAGGCATTGATCAGTTTTCCGAATGCCTTTGGTTCAAATGTTGATTACAGCTGTTTCCTTCTCCCTTGTTCTTTATCCTGGCATTAAAGCTGCATGCGAATGTCCTGCCCTGCCACAACGGAAGCAGCGTTGCTGACGTGAGACATGGGCTGGATTGCTAGAACAGCGGCGCAGCTGAGGCTGGGCGAAAGAAAGCACTGCAAAGGCTGGGGCACGCAAGCATCTTGAGACATGGTGTAAGTCCCGCTTAGCTTGTGCGCTGGCTTTGGCAGTGCTTTCTTTGCCCCAGTCACAGCTGAGACGTTGTTTCTAGCAAGCCGGCCCTGGGGCCCTAATCTGGACATTTGGCGAGAAAGACAGTGAGAAATCTGGCGGCTATGATTGGCCGGCGTCAAGGTCAAGTGTGGCGTCGGCCAATCACAGCCGCCAGATGTCTCGTCGACCTTTTCGCAAAGTGTCCAGATTAGGGCCCCTGGTGTTTGGTTGTTTGCCCCCTCTGGAAGTTCTCGATCTTGTCCGCGAGAGCAGCCATGAAAGAAGTGAGGGATGCTATGTCCGCTTTTGTGGCATGCCGTGCCCTCACCCGCAGTAGTAGTAAACGACGTGTCTACTGATGCTTTGCCGAGACAGCTGATGCAGTTTGCAGCGGTTACTGCAGCTGCCAGAGGTGTTTGAACAGCAATGAGTGCCCGGCACCGGAGGTCATCGCCGAGTCCCGCACTGAACTGATCCTGCACAAGAGCTTCAGGGTCTTCGTAAGGCATTGCTGGGTATGCCTTGGAAAACAAGTTTATCAGGTCGTAGGCAAGCACGTCATATGGTTCCCCAAAACGGTGTTTCCACGTTCAAAATTGCGTGGCAGCGACTTCTCGTTGAGCATGAGATCCAAAGCACTTTGACATGGCAGCGAGTAGACAGGCGAAGGATGCGCAATCTTGCAGATCCAGATGCTGGCAAACCAGGAAAGCTCGTCCGTGCAGTAGAGTCGGTAGGAACAGCAGCTTCTTGCCGTCATCCCAATTGTTTCCGCAGCACAGACGTTGAAATGGCATTCCCAGGCATCATAGTCCTCATCTCCAGAAAAATTATCAGGCACTGACCTGTAGTGCTGTCGCCATCCCACCGGTGCAGCAGTTGCCATCGTGCTGCTGCCACCAACCTAAGGATTTATTCGGTCTGAGCCCCGAACTGCCCCTTTTGTCGACCGTAGCATCAGCCACTTGTGTGGTGGCCCATGCGCTCTCCCCGTTTCTTCTGCTTCATCGTCTTCTTTCCATGCATACATATCTTATGCTATGGAAAATGAGTCATCCAGTGAGTCGTTGGTGTGAAATTAGCTTCTTTCTTCACTACTGTGATTCCATTCTGTGCAGTGCTCTGTTTTCTGTCTAAATTTACAACTTGCTTATTTTCTTGTCCTAATTTTTGCATACAGTATTTGTCGAGGTCAATTCCATGCAAATTTATACTGAGGCAAAGTGTCTGTTTTCAAAGTGATACAAGTGTTACCAGATGCACAGTAATAAAACAGATGTGTATGGACTGCTTCCTTTCTTTGTCATTGTTTTTTTATATCCATAAGGAGACACTTGGACATACCATTTGTAAGTCTGGAGGTACAGCTTATCAACACTCGCATGTGCTCTCAGCGTGCTGACGCTGTAAACGAAAATAAAGCTAAACGTACAATGTTACTGATACTTCGTCTCACCTTGTAGGGTCTATTACGCATACGTGCGAGCTTGTTGCTTTGCGCGTCACGGCTCGGCGGCTGCATGAGCGATTGTACAGCGCGAGGTCCATGCACAACCTTCGCAGTTAGTCCATGCTACTGTGAGACGAAGTACAGGTAGGAATATATTTGCACCCGTAAGCGCAGGCGCCTCTAGTACATATAGGCATGTAGCCTGTATGTGACATTACCTTGTGTTCTCGACGCGTACGCCGTGGTCCTGGAGCGTATGGAAGACGACGTCGAGCACCACTTCGTCCAGGCACAGCGTGTGGAAGCGAACATTCCTAGTAATGCAGCCCGACGGTTGCTTCTCGGTCGCTGCCGGAATTTCGCGGCAGCAGACGCTTTCCACGATGGTCGGCATCGCCTCGCACTGGCCGCAGGTGCACCTATTCGAATGTTTGGGTCAGCGACTGCGCTCACTTGCGAGTTGATTTACGGCGTGTAGAACACGAATACTTACCAGTTTGTACAGCCAAGTCGACCCGGTTCAGGAGGTTGATGATCAGGGCTCGAACGAGCTCTCGTCGAGCCGCGCGCACCTCGCTGCTCAGAGCTCGCCCCGTCTTCGCTGTCGGTGCCGTCGTCGGATGATGAGCGGTCTCGTACTCCTCGGAGGGGGGTGTCCGCATAAGGCACAAAGCCGAGACGTCTGCTTCGCTCGATCAATCGGCGCTGAAGCTCGGGGAGGGCCAGTCGATCGGACATCTTGCATCTGAGGGACGTATCTGTTCGCCTTCGACTTCTACGCGTGACGTCAGAAAGCAAAACTTTCCGATTGGCTGTCTTAATGTGACGTAGCCGTTGAAGAGAGAGGCAAGCTGCCCGGGAAACCGAAATTGTCGTTTTACGCTAATAAATTAATCCGGACGATAAAACGGATGCGCGTGGGTTACCTGATAGAGGACCGGCAATCAAAATATCGCACATAGCGCAGAATTTTCAAAAACGTTTCACGACCCCTTTAATATTACGTGTTCTATAGTTTCCCTTTTCTGGTTGCATATGTTCCATAAAGTGTCCATTTCCTGGAATTTAGCCCTATATGTTGCGTTCTTCACACCCCCGTCCTTTTTTGTTTTGTTCGAAGAGTAAGATATTTTGCGAGTCTGATTAGTTACATCGCCCGAGCGCGTCGTTTGCGAGGATGTTCCGTTCCTTGTTGGTGCATTGGGGTCGCACAAATGCAAGTGAAAGGCTTCTTTTTTTTTTCTTTGTTCGGTGGCGAAGATATTTTGCTGTTATCAAGGGTGCGGGTCATAAGTAGGATTCCGTGTTCTCGGAGTTTATTTCTCGTGAAATTCGGAGGGTGTCTTTGGAGTTTATTTTTCGCTGGGGATTCCTGTTTTATCGGAGTTTATTTTCGTTAGATTCCCAATTCTTTGACAATCAGAGCTTATTTTATTGCGTAAAATTTAGACAGTTCGAAATAAAATTAAATAAGGTTCTGGTAACATGATTCATTGTACCGAAGAAACCTCGACGTGCTAAAAGGCCAACCTCTTTTCAGTAGGTCTAGATTTCAAAGAAAACTGAAGTGGAATCTCGTCAGGACCACTGACCTTGTGCTCTTATAAAGTTGAATTTGCTAAAACCCCGTCTTTTTTACTGTTCATTTTGTCGCTGTGAACTCGAAAGTCGGAGTTTTCCGGATAAATCCGATTTGACGGAAAATTTACCGGCCAGTGTTTTTCGGATTTGTTCGAATTTATCCGAAAACACGGAACCCTAGTCATAAGTCGTCAATCGCCCGAGCGCGTCGTTGAGAAGATGTTCCGTTCTTTGTCGGCGTTTTGGGTCAAGAAAATGAGAGTGAAAGATTTCACACTTCAAGCGGTCCTTGCGTGATAACTGAAGTTTGCAACTGCAGGCAGACAGAAGCTACTGAAGCGTCAAAGGATTGATACTGTCTTACCGCTTCTTTCTGTTCGAAGTAGGAGAGGTGGTTTGATCTGGCGATGTCAGAAAATCTGCAGAGATTAGTTTTAAACGGTTTGCTTATCTGAAATGCGGAAGAAGCATGCGTTATTTCGTCGATTTTGTTTTAAGTTTGACATTCGCTTTGCATTTAAAGTGCAAGAGGCTGCTTTCTACCGTAAAAAAAAAATTGCAAAATTTATTTAGTGAACCTAAATATAAAAAAAAGCTTTTTGGTACTAGGCGTCACACGTTGCTAGAAAATAAGTTGGTGGCCTAGTTGGATGAACATCATAAAATATTATTAGCGTGAAAGACAAAGGACAAGAGAAGACAGGACAGGACAAGCGCTTGTCCTGTTATGTCCTCTCTTGACCTTTGCCTTTCGCGCTAATATTTTTTATAATGTCACACGTTGCTATTTGGAAGTTGAGAATGTTTCACGCTGAAGATTCTTTGTTTGACCCCAACGAACACACAATTGGTTTAGTATTTTATGAAATCGAGGCGAATATTTTAGACAAGAACCCGCACACCTTCTATTGTGGTGTTCGTCGATTGCACTTTCTTGGCTGCGATGAGCCCTTGGTCGGCTGCTACTGTTGGGTGGCGAAGAAAATCTCATCGGAGAGAAGTTCACCGGTAAAATTCTCGCCGTAAAACCGACACACGGGAGAAAAGCTCATTTACGAATCATTTTATTCAATATTTAATTTTGAATATTCTCGGCATTGTTCGAACTGCGGTGTTAATATTTATTTATTTGTTGGACCACATGGGAAGGGGGTGGCTAAAGCCGTGGTGTGGGATTAGGGTTTAGGAGGCGGATAGAATAGATCTGCGAGGAGTTGTCCACGCTCTATAATCTCTTTAGGGGTGAAGAAGGTATCGTGTCGTTCTGCTTCTCAATCTTCTTGCCGGTACGAGAATCTGCTGGTCAAGAAGTACTGGGAGTCACCTCACATTCTGTCGCAAGGCCACTCTTACTACCACCTTGGGCTAGCGTGTTTTGGCTAGGGGGGCATGTTCGGAGGTGTGCAAGTAATGTGTCATGATCGGCATGCGGTATCTGTCCTGCCGGTGGAGAAGCGTGGGCAGTCCCCGATAAGGTGCAGGAGATTAGCTCTGCACTCCGATCCGCAGTGACTGCAGCGAACTGGTGTGTCCGCGGTGGGGGGGGTACCATTTCTTGATGATATGCGATGTGAAGGCTGTGTCTGCTAATACGTTGTTTGAGAATACTTCTTGGGCGCGTGAGAGTCGTAGTTGCGGATCGACTTGAAGCGGAGGTGTTATTGTTGTAAGAAATTGTTTACGTTCCCTGCGGTGTGTGGCTCTGATAAAGGAGAGGTACCATCGATATGCCGTTCCCGGTGAGTCTGTGATCCATGCGTAGGGATTAAGTGGTGGGTTGAGAGGAGGGTAAGGGGCGACCGAGTCAATACTCCTTCGGGCTGCCGTGGCTGGGTTATGTGCCACTGCGTTCCCTCCTGTCAATCCGGTGTGTGCGGGTGTCCACTGAATGCGTAGGTCGAGGCCCACTTCGTCTTGCACTCGTTTCCTTATGGCCTGAGCCATGGCGTCATCCGTGTTAATGTCCTCGATTTTTTTGAGCGCTTCCTTGGCGTCTGTTAGTTTTTTCTGTAGTCATGTTGTGGTAGGGGTCCAGGGATTGAGGAACGGGCTCTCCATATGAAGAGGAGTTCAGCCTGCCGGGCGTCCCCATAGAGGAGGTGACAGCTATGGGCGCCATTTATTGCCGGTCGTGTGGGGCAGTGCCAGACCATGCCCCCCTTGCCGTCGTTAAAACTGGCGGCTGTGTAGATGACCATTCGATCTTGTTCGAACTGTTGGTGCAGACTGGCAATACGAATTCAAAGGCCTCTCGTTCTCGGGATGGTATTGCCTGTTGTCTCATTTAAAGGGAAGATGGGGAGGTTCTGTATTTAAAAACAAACACTTGCATCATCTTCATTTGGTCTCCACGATTACAAATATCAAAATCATTTTTCAATTCGATGCGCGCATTTGACATAAAAGCGCTTTTAAGAGGAGCGCCAAGCCCCTCCCTATTTGCGCGGTCGGTGAGAGCGTAAAAATTGGAAGAGAATTCGTGACGTCAGTCGACGTCACAAACGTACCTAGCAATCGCCGCTCGCCCCACTCGCGCCTGGTTCGCTCCTGCCTTCCCGCCATGCGCATCCACAATCGTCCCTCTTCTCCCCCCCTTTTATTTTCTTCCAACATAACAACGCTTAGTAGTAGTAGTAGCTTCGCGGCCATCTCCTCCGAGGGCTCGTCAACGTCGTACGTCGTACTCGAAACTGGTTGCGTTTCACTTTTTTCCGCGTGGTGTTCGCTGTGGTTTATTATCGTCGGCGTGACAGGTGCACGGCGTTGTCTATCGAACAGTCCTTCTTTTATGGCGGCGCTTGCACAATGCCCACGTTGTGCCCGGCCGTGGGCTGCTCGAACATCTCTCGGAGGGGCAGCCCATTTCACTTCCACAGGTTTCACCCGAGGATCTCCAAGCAGTGGGTCTCCGCGATGAGAAGAGACAAATATGTGCCCAGCAAGCGGAGTGTGCTCTGTTCGGCGCATTTCTCTGAAGACATGTATGTCGACAAGGTGCGGATCCTGAAGAAGCTTGGTCTAGCTGTCACTCCGCGTCTAATTCAAGGCGCCGTTTCCATCATCGTTTCGCATAAGCGACAACCCCCTCAGCGCACACGGGGAGCATTCACGAAGACGGATTGAGGTAAGCACAATAAGTTGGACCTTTTCCAAGTTGTGACTTTTGCGCGCTGCGATTACGTCGAACGTTGAGTCTAGAGTATCTTGCAGCGTTCAAGTGCCGTCCGACGGTGCTTCGCGTTCAAGTGCCGTCCAAATGTCTCGTATAAAACGAGTTCTCAAAACTAATATCTCGAAGCGGAGTGTAGCTTTTTGGTAAGACATTCTGCATCTGGCGTTCGGACCGCTCGGACGCAGAATGGCTGGCTCCCATGGAGCAGTGATAACGGCCAACTGGGGCCGCGGTTTATTTGTTCTTTCTTCCATGGACGATTATCGTGTTGTTCTCCCACCCCAGCCAGCAGGAATTTTCGCTGTGAACACCGTCTCTCTTCATTGCAACGTGACGGGTCGCCCTTACCGGGTAGACCACTTCAGGGCCGAACTGGAACGCCTTGGCGTGACGAAGAAGATAGCGGCGATTGGCGCCTACCAATTAAACCGCCTTTGGATGCTCACACTTCACACCGCAAGAGCCAAACAGAAGTTAGTGGAAGCACGAGAACTCTCTGTGAAAGAGAAGAAGTGCTTAGTGCTTCACCCGGACAACTCCGAAGTCCGGTTAAAAGTGCACTGGGTGCCATTCCACGCTCCGGACGAGGCTCTCTTCCGAGCTTTTGAGCGGTACGGGAAGGTTCAGGAGGTCACTCGCGAAACCTGGGGGACGGATGGCTTTCAGGGCATACAGTCGTCCACGAGGATGGTGCGCCTTAGCCTGAAGCAGGGCGTCACCATTGATAGCCTGCCTCACCAGCTCAAAGTCTGCGGCGGAGGTGTCCTGCTTGTGGTTCCCGGACGCACACCCCTGTGTTTGCGGTGCAAATCGAGAGGACACATCCGGAAGGATTGCAGGACACCCTGGTGTCAGCAGTGCCGCAGGGTTGGGCATGCACCTGAAGACTGGGTGCGTACGTACGCCACCGTCACCGGGGATCATTCAACGGATGATGTGCAAGACCTCGAGATGGACGAGGAGGAAGCAGAGGATACGGCACGGAGCGAATCTCAGCGACCACCGCCCGCT